TTTGAAATGTTTACTAGGTAATAACAAGTTATTTACACATAGAAGTGACTGAGAATTGAAGACCATTGTAATTGTGAACTAAGGGCACATTGAAACCTAATGACCTAGGCAGAAATGTAAAACTTGCTAGAGTTCTGATGATAATTTGTTTCATTAATGTACAGATTTACTTACAACCTTGATTCATACACTTAACCCATTCTAATCAAATACAGTACTTTCAGGTGTTTTGATGATACAGTTAATAAACTAGCTGGCATATAAAAGCTCCTCACCTTTGATTCTGAAGACTTAACTTTTCTAGCTGAAGCAGGCAAGGTAGTATCTTTGTCAACATTAAGATTTTGTTTGGAATCTGCAGAAAAATGAATTGTACAGATCATGGTTGGTGTTGATATGTTTTAACTACACACAAAACACAATTTCCAATTTTTAATTTTTTTATTTTTGAGACAGTCTCACCATCACCCAGCCTGGAATGCAGTGGTGTGATCTTGACCCACTGCAACCTCTGCCTCCTGGGTTAAAGCAATTCTTCCACTTCCCTTCCTAGTAGCTGGGACCACAGGCGCACCCCACCACCCCCGGCTAATTTCTTTATTTTTAGTAGAGATGGGGTTTTGCCATGTTGGGCAGGCTGGTCTTGAACTCCTGAACTCAAGTGATCTACCCACTTTGGCCTCCCAGAGTGCTGGGATTACAAGCACGAGCCACCTTGCCTAGCCCCAAATTTCTAATTGCAACTACTGATTAAACAATATGCTCTTTTCTTAGTTGTACATTTTCAAATAATTACACAATATTTTTACACATCTAACACCTTTCTCATTTTCCTAATATTCCCTGACAGATCAAGGTAATTACCAAAAGGGAAGTTACATATCGATATGAGTGTCTTGCTTAATATTCCTGGTTATATAACAATGTAATAACAGCATTATTCTGTACTTGACTCTTTCGTAAATCCATCAAAATTTAAATATAGTTCTAGCTTCAAATTTTTTAAAATGCTATAACATATTTAAATTTAATTATTGTTATTCATAAGTTTAAAACTTAAAAATCACATAACCATTGTTCTTTGGTGATCTATTACCTTTTTGTTGTTTAAATCTTTGTGATTTCTGAAAGGATACTGGTCCTTTCAATACTTCTGAAGTTTTAACATCATAAGCACCTGGAGATGGTGCACAACCTAGAGGAAATAGAAAACATTAATATATCATCTAATGTTATTTATGATCTTAAGTTAAAGCATGTCATAATAAAGTAAATATCAACGTAAAATGTCATTAAGAAACTACTTCTATTTTATTAATGTAAAAAACTGCATCCATTTGATATTTTAAAGAAGGCTTCTCTTTATAATATCTATTCATATTATTATTCTATTTATGAAGAACAATATCATCTTGTCCTTTATATCAATTGGGTCAAAGGAACACAGGCAACTAAGCAAAAGGCAGTTTTGAGATGAACATCATGTATTACAGGCAATACAGCTTTCTTATTAAGGACTGAGTATAGCAAATAAAATACCTGGTGTCAACTCTACTCAAAGAGAGTCACGGAGGTAACTACCATCAGTTTCTGGACATAAAGTAATTAAAACTGTCTATCCCTGAATATTTGGCCTAGAATAAAAATTTATAGTGATATTCTATCTCTGGCTATTATCAATATATTAGACCTATTGATGATGTCAACTGCAATTCAAACACACAGAAAAAAAGCAACCACACTAGAGCAACTAGAGCTTGTTAGCACTTACTAAGCCAGGCATTATGCTAAGCATTTTATAGATGCTATTTTATTTAATCCTCAGAAGAACCCTATGTGATGATTTACAGATAAAGAATGTGAGGCTTAGAAAATTCAAAAAGCCAATGTTATGCAAAGTAAAAATTGTACTAGACTGTATTTCCATATTCCAGAACTTTATACTGCATAATTTCACTTAAGTTCTAAATTTGAAGGCATTTCTGATTAAATACAGATAGCAGACTTGAGATGGGGCTCTTAGAACTTAATATACAGAGCGTAAAGCTTTAAAATAATTAAAATACTACGAGCCTAAAGCTGGTTAGGAACAAATAGATTAATATGATACTGTTCTCTGAAAAGCTATTGATTTCCCTCTAGAGTCAAATAAATAAGAAGAGCAAGGAGCTTTGACCATTCCCAGGCAACTACTGCTGTCCCCTAAATGTTTGCCAAATGGTAGACAGGCTGGAGTGCAGTGGCGCCATCTTGGCTTACTGCAAACTTTGCCTCCTGCGTTCAAGCGATTCTCCTGCCTCAGCCTCCCGAGTATCTGGGATTAAAGGCGTGCACCATCACACCCTACCGAGTGCCAGCTCGGGAAACCTCCACCCAAGTGACGCTGAAGGTTATGAGAGGCAGACACCTAGATACAACAGCAGAGTGGATCTATTTGGGTTGGGGGAAGGCCAGCAGCCTACCGAGCTGAGAGCCTCAGGGGCTGACAGCATTCCAGGCTGAAGGCAACGAGCAGATTCTCATCCACGTATTCATGCTCTCTTAAACAGGTGATTCTTATTAATAAACAGGTGTTCTGTATTTACTCATAAAAATATACCAAGTAGGCAGCTATTAACCCGCCTACCACTAATTACAAACTAAAAGGTATTCTCCACAAGGGAGCGACGGGGGCAGAGGGTAAACTTAATGTTTCTTAACAACACCGGCTAATTTTTGTATTTTTTGTTTGTTTTAGTAGAGACGGGGTTTCGGCATGTTGGCCAGGCTGGTCTCGAACTCTTGACCTCAGATGATCCGCCTGCGTTGGCCTCCCAAAGTGCTGGGATTACAGGTGTGAACCACTGTGCCCAGTCTCACAGATCTTGATTAGCATTTTGTAAAAAGTAAAAATAGAAAAATCAGCATGACTCATATGCCACAAAGCATTGTTTTGTGAAACTTTTCTTTCATATATATGTGTAGAGATACCAAAATACGTCCTAGGCAGAAATATAAATTTTGAGGTTTTTTTTTTTTTTTTTGGTTTTTTTTTTTTTTTTTTTTTTTTTTTTTTTTTTTTGAGAGAACGAGTCTTACTTTGTCACCAGGCTGGAGTGCAGTGGTGCCATCTCCGCTCATTGCAACCTCCACCTCCCAGCTTCAAGCGATTTTTGTGCCTCAGCCTCACGAGTAGCTGGGACTACAGGTGCGCGCCACCATGCCTGGCTCATTTTTTTTTTTTAAAGACAGGGTTTCATCATGTCGGCCAGCCTGGTATTGAACTCCTAACCTCAGGTGATCCACCCGCATCGGCCTCCCAAAGTGCTGAGATTACAGGCGTGAGCCACCACGCCAGGCGCCTGGCTAATTTTTGTATTTTTTTATTATTATTATTTTTTAAGTAGAGACGGGGTTTCGCCATGTTGAAACTCCTGGCCTTAAGTGATGCACCCGACTTGGCCTCCCAAAATGCTGGGATTACAGGCTTGAGCCGCCACACCCGGTGGTCTTTGGGTCTTTTGACTAAGAAATTGTTTCTACTGACACATTTGCTCATTTGGCCTTCTTTTGTGAGTAGCTGTGAACATTTTCATTCCACGTTAGCTTATGGAAATTAGAGATGTAATGAGTAACCATGAAATACTGTATTATAGTGGATAAATCATAACCTTAGATATTTAGCTCTGCCACTTAACTGGTTGTGCAATAGTTACAAAACCTGTTTTCTCATCTGTAAAATGAGGTCAGTATCAGTACCTTCCTCACTTGGCTGTTGGAAGAAATAAACAAGATCTAGTAGCACAGTCCCAGCATCTTTAACGATGAGCGCTTACCAAACACTTTTAGGGCTTCCTTTTTACTGTGCTTACGCATTGCAGTGTTCAAGAGCACAGGATGGGGGCTGGGTTCATATTCCAGTCCTGCCACTTTGGTAATGTAACACTGAGCAAATTTAAATCTCAGTCTTTTTTATCAATAAAATAATGAATAGGATTACCCCTTAGAGTTGGTGGGAAATTAACATAATAATCGATGTAAAGCCTTAGTATGGTGCTTGAGGTCTAAGTGCTAAATATCAGCCATAATAACTTCATTGTTTATGTTTTCAGTAAGTGCTACTACCTTAATTTTACACCCATAAATTGCCTTTACCAATCTTCCTTCTTTTATGGTCGAATGGAATAAAAGGAATCCACAAGTTCCCATACTCCAGTGTTTTAATCCCTGAGGCCCTCTCGGACTTGAAAATCAAATAGCTGCAACGCTTCGCCTCCATTCCCTTCGCCCTGCTGTAGTTTCTCCATTACCACTGTTTATTGACAGTACACCCCGCGTGAATTTAAGCCCCAAGGGGCGCGGACTCTGTTTCACTCACTGCGGTATCCTTAGCATACTGCTTAGTGCATGACACTTAACAGATGCTTAGCGCATAAAAATCAATTGAATGAGCCCCAGCTGGACCCTAAAATCGCCTCCTGCTTGCCTCCCAGGAATGGAACCGAAAGAGGCAAAGGGCGTTAGGGCGCCTCCCGTCCCCCCATCTTCTTACCCCTTACGTACCAGAAGGGTCATTGAATCGTTTCAGGGGCGCCTTAGGAAAGGACATGTTGACGGCCACCTCCAGACAGCTAAGGTCACTGGCACTCCTCCGCAACTGAATGCGGATTATCACTGCCTACCGGCTTCAAATTCAAATCTCTCCACATTCCCCTCCCATCCCGGCGTTGGCCAATTGGAAAGCCAAACCCCTGGGCACACCAATCCTGCACAGGAACACGAAGAAAGAATGCTGGGTTCTGACTGCGTCGAATTAGCGGGCCTGTGAGTTTAGGCCATCAGCCAATAGGAGACCTCGCCCCTCCCATACACCCAACCCACCCAGTCATTCGCGGCGTTTCTCAGTTGTAACCTAGGAACCACTATCATATGCGCAAGCGCATTTCACTCCGGAGACGTTTGAAAGTGCATTTTTGCGTCACTTACGTGACGGTGTAGTGAGTTCCGGTTTCGCTGGTTCCAATTCTATCCCATCGTTCGTTGCATGTGAACTTTTGGGATTTCAGTTCTTTCAGCTAGGTTCCGCCGGTGCCATAAATGGTCATTCAAAGGAAGAAACGAAGATGGACGCCGAGACGCCAGCCTGCGTTCTTGCGCATGTGCAGTGACCCGAGCTAAGCGGCCATACCCTGAGCGTGGGATTCCGCGCGTGCGCTCGGCTCCGCCTGGTGCGGCTGTGGCCGGGAGGCGACAGGAGTATGTCGGCCCCGTTTGAGGAGCGGAGTGGGGTGGTTCCGTGCGGGACCCCGTGGGGCCAGTGGTACCAGACCCTGGAGGAGGTGTTTATTGAAGTTCAGGTGCCGCCAGGCACGCGCGCCCAGGATATCCAGTGCGGCCTGCAAAGCCGGCATGTGGCGCTGGCGGTGGGCGGCCGCGAGATCCTCAAGGTAGCCGCAGTTCGGGGCTTCTGTTCAATTTCATCTTCCCAGCCGCCCCCAGCCCCCGAGTCCTAAATTTCATGGTTTCCCTGAACGACTGCTGGGTGTCCGGACTATTGTGGCTGGCAGAAAGAGAAAAAGGATAGATAACATTGACCATGTTTGGGTCTGGTCGGAGCCTCCCTCTTCAGGGCAGGTGCTGAATTGTGGAAATTTCAGGAGATCGTTTTCCAGTTTAGTTTTCAAACCAAGTCAGACTGCTGCTTCTGCTTCTTTAAGGGGCTTCAGCTGCGAACAGACTAAGTTGCTAAGGGAACAGATATTTCTTCTGGTCACTGAAGACAGGAAGGAAGGTGGCAGGAAGACAACAAGACAGATAAGTTCCCTGCAGTGGAGAGGTTAAGCTCTTGTAGGGGGGAGTATTAATAAATAGATAAATATAGGAAAGAACAAAGAAACTAGTCATAGGATAACGGGCAGAGGATTTAGAGATGATGGGTGATTAGTTTTCTAATATAAAAATTTAAAAATCCTGCTTGTTTGTGGAGTGGTCAAGCAGGTGGTAAAGAGGTGTGTGCATAAAATTAGTAGTCCCCCTTTTATTTTTTTCATCAATACTCTTTGGATCTGGACCCGCTTTTTCTTATTAAGTGAATAGTTAATTAATAGTTTGAAATTAGATTTTATTCTTAGGTTAGATGCCCAAGATGTTTGTTAGCAGTGTAAGGTGGTGAAGGGAGACTCCTTGTTTCCTGGTTTTGTGAACTTGGGCAAGAGATTGTTCCGTGTCTCTATGTCTTCCGTATCCTCAAGATACGGTAGTTCTAGTACCCTTCTCATAGGATTGTTTTGAGAATAACATGGTATTCATGTATATGAAGAGTATTCACTGGTATGTAGTAAGTTAATACTATATGTTAGCTATTATCAAATATTATAACATGTGGAGGTGCTTTGAATGCCTCAAGATTCCTGTGAAAGACATTGATTTATGTCAGCTTGGATTAAGTGACTTGTGAATTGTTGTACAATTCATAGTTTCCTGAACAATGGTTTTAGATTACAATTTAAATTTAGTAAATCCATCAACTTTAGGAATTTAGCAGTAACGCTGGGATTTTTGATGTACATCTAGACGTTTTTTTTCCAGTAGGTTTGACATTTTAAAATGTGGGTTTTTTCTAGTGACATTTTAATTTCACTTTCTATGACTTAAATTTGGCAACAAATTAAAACGGATTTGAGCTTATGCATTCTCTTATTTAAAAGGAAAAAAAAAATACATATATATATATATATGTGTGTGTGTGGGTATATATACATATTTAGAGTCAGGGTCTCTTGTTGCCCAGGCTGGAGTGCAGGGGTGAGATTGTAGCTCACTGCAGCCTCAAACCCCCTGGGCTCAAGCAATCCACATTGGCCTCCAAAGTGCTGGGATTACAGGCCTGAGCCTCCGGGCTTGGTGCGTTCTCTTTTACATTTATGGTTTTTTTTTTTTTCTTCAAAAAACATGAGTTTGTAAGCAATGAGTAACAACTAATCTATCACATCTGGAATATATACTTTGAAGTTTGTTTTTTTTAATGTTGATTGCCCAACAAAAAGATTAAACCTTTTTTAAAAGTTTACTTTAAAAGACAACATTTCTTAGTTTTAGCAGGAGAGCCCTTCTTGTGGTTAATTTTAATTGGTAGAATTAAAGCATTTCAGATATGAATTTCACATTTGGCCAGTGGCCAGTATTACTATATCTTACAAAAATTAAGGAGTCCTGATCTTTCTTTTGAGGGCTCTGTGTCCTTTACCATAGTAAATATTCCATGCAGTATAAACTAGTTTCCATTTTACCTGCTGGGAGAAAATTTAGGGTTGTGCACCTATAAATGTCATGGTGAAGTGGTTATAAGATATGGATTAGGTAGGAAAGTAGGTAAACGTAATCATAAAAACTTCATAAAAATTAATGAAATTCTCTATTTTTAACACCTTGTATGTTTATTTTTCAGGGCAAACTCTTTGATTCTACAATAGCTGATGAGGGAACATGGACTCTGGGTAAGGGTAATTATTATAATTCATCAAATCTTTTTTAAAAATTAATTTGTCTTGGAATTTACTGTCTTTTTCCCTTTTGTATTGGGTCTTTTTTGTCTTTGCAGCTTTGAAAGATAAAGCAATAGAAATGTGTTGAAAACAATTGTATGTCAAAATTACCTAGTTGTGGGAAAAAAGATTACCTAGTGGTTTTTGAAAATAAAAAATTTAATGAAAACTTTTTGAGACCAGCCTGTCCACAACATTGCAATACCCTGTCTCTACTAAAAATAAAAAAGTTAGCCAGGCATATGGTGTGTGCCTGTAATCCCAGCTACTTGGGTGGCTGAGGAACGAGAATCACTTGAACCCAGGAGGTGGAGGTTGCAGTGAGCTGAGATCGGGCCACTGCACTCCGGCCTGGGTGACAGAGTGAGACTGTGTGTGTGCATACACACACACACACACACACACACACACACACACACATGCGCACACAATTTGATGAAGAACTCTAATTTCTTTGTTTTTTTTTTTTTCTTTTTTTAGAGGATAGAAAAATGGTTCGTATTGTTCTTACCAAGACAAAGAGAGATGCAGCAAATTGTTGGACTTCTCTACTAGAGTCTGAATATGCAGCTGATCCTTGGGTACAAGACCAAATGCAGAGAAAGCTTACATTGGAGAGATTCCAAAAAGAAGTAAGTCAGATGAAGTGTGTCAGTATGTATAAATATATAAAAATCATTGAATAAATATTATTTGAAATTAAAACTCAAATGTCATTATGAAAAGTTATATTTTCTAGAAGAATTTTTTAAGTGAATGGTTAGAAAAATGGCCTTTCTTGTATGGATTTGATTTTTTCAAAAGATTTTCTTGAGAGGAATTTATTTCTATTGCTGTGATTTGTGAGTTCAGGCATACTTTTATGTACATCAGTAATGCATGAATAAACTCTTAATATAGTTGAACCAGTATAGATTTACCTCGTGTAAAAAGTGAAAGGCCCCTTCACTGCTATTCTCTCCATTCCATGCATTTATCTCATTTTTGTCTCATATGTTGGCTATTGTTTGTTTTGTTTTTATCATAAATGGAGGATCGCACATGTGTATTGTTCTTCATGTTGCTTTTTTATTTAATAATATGCTGTGGGTCTCTTTCCCTTTTTCTTTTTGTATGTCTTTCTTTTGATAAGTATGATATTCAGTAAACTTGTCTAAATAGGAATTGTGTACCCCTTTGTCTAAGTATAACAATTCACACAAATTATAGTGCTAAAAACAAGAAAGGAAAAAAGTCTATAAATATATTTTAAGTAAATTAAGAGTTAATAAAAATTTATTCATTAGAATATTATTACTTGAGGGATTACTTTAAAAATAGTTTACAAAAGTCAAGAAGTTTAAAAATAATTAAAAGCCTAACTATACCTAACTTGTAGGTATAAAACTCATTCTTTTTAACTGCCTCAGAGTATTCTGTAGTTTGGATATGTCATCATTATTTAGCTCTTTGTCTTTGATATGATTTAGATTTCTTCATTTTTCTCTATTTTAAACAAAGCTCTGTTTTCATCTCTGTCTGTATGTCTTTTTTTTTTTTTTGAGATAGATTATTGCTCTGTTACCCAGGGTGGAGTGCAGTGGCATGATCTCAATTTACTGTAACCTCTGCCTCCTTGGTTCAAGAGATTCTCCGACCTCAGCCTCCTGAGTAGCTGGGATTACAGGCTTGTGCCACCACGCCTGGCTAATTTTATTTTTAGTAGAGATGGGGTTTCACCATGTTGATTAGGCTAGTCTTGAACTCCTGACCTTGTGATCTGCCTATCTCGGCCTCCCAAAGTGCTGGGATTACAGGTTTGAGCCACTGCACCCAGCCAGATAATGTGTCTTTATGGTAATGATTTCCAGATGTATATCTGTAGCCTAGACTTTTTTTCTCAATTCAGGACCTGCATATCCAATTATCTATTCAAGATTTCCACCTGGCTATCTAATATATATTAAGGTCAACATGTCCAAGTTGAACTCTCTCATGTCCTTCCATATTTGTTCTTCCCTCTAGCTTTCTCATCTCAGTTGATGAAAACTAGTAGTTCAGGTCAAAACATATTGGGACTCATCCTTGATTCTTACATCTCTCTCATACCCTATCCAATGTATTAGGAAATCTTATTGATGCTACCTTCCAAATATATTTAGAATTTGGCCGCTTCTCATCACCAACTCTACTACCATGCTGATCTGGACCACTTCTGTTATCTTGCCTGGATTACTCTAATAACCTTCTAATTAGTCTTCTCACTTTTACCCTTGCCATAGTCTTCTCAGATTAGCAGTCAGAGCAGTTCTTTCAAAATGCAAGTCATATCATGCCACTTCTCAGAACTCTGCAAGTCATGTCTCTATCTCTTAAAGGGCCCTATCTGATCAGTTATTCCATTATCTCCCTGACTACTTCCTCCCTTACTGCTATCCCTCTTAGTGATTCTTCTGTAGCCATACTGGTTTGCTGTTCTTTAAAGACTATATCAGCCCATCCCTTTGCTGACCTTCTGACTACAATGCTCTTCTCCCACAGCTTGGCTCACTTTTATGTTTTCATATCATTGCTCAATGAAGCATACTTTCATCATCCCATTAATATTATAATTTTATTTCCCTTATCCTGTTTATTTATTTTTTTTCTGTATTACCAACTTTTAACAGTCAATCGGGTTGGCAAACTACAGCCCTTGGGCCAGATTTGGCCCACTACCTGCTTTGTAGCTTTTCAAGGATACATAGATGCTCATTTGTTTATATACCATCTTTCAGACAGTTGAGTATTTGTGGCAGAGACTATGTGGCCTGCAAAACCTAAAATATTTACTACCTAGTTCTTTAAAAAGTCTGCCAGCCCCTGTGCTGGTTGATTTATGGTTTGTTTCCTCCTGCTAGAATGTTAAGTTCCACTAGAGCAGGGATTTTTGTTATTTTTCACTCTTGAATTCTACATACGTCTAATGGTCTTCCAAACAGTAGTAGCTCAACAAATGTTTGTTGGATAAATGAAATAGCCCACCAAAAAGACGAAGGCCTGACATAGTACTTCACAGGATTTTTATGAGGGTTAAATATCTATGTATGTATACCTCTTAGAAATTTGTGGGCATATAGAAAGCTACCAAAAAATGCTAGCTATTAAATCTACAGAATTATATTGAAGTATATATGTTTCCCTATACACTTGCCAACATCATAATATACATATGATCTTCTAAATATTTGTAATTAGGGAAGTTGAAAAATGCCTCATAGTTTTAAATATGATTTTGGTGAGAACAGTGAAGTCTGTTATATTTTCATTTATTTATTGGTCATTTAGATATCCTTTTTTATCAATTGCCTGCTTGTACTTTTATTTTTCTTTGTAAGTTTTATTTCATTATAAGTATTTTTTTATCTTTTAGAATCCTGGTTTTGACTTCAGTGGAGCAGAAATCTCAGGAAACTACACTAAAGGTGGACCAGATTTCTCAAACCTTGAGAAATAACTGCTTTTTCT